TTATCATTAGCTCTTAAAAATTTAATTTCTCATATTTTAGCTTATTTTATATTTGCCAACTTCGTAAAAATTTAATGAGATTTTCTGTGTACAGAGAAACATGATCCTAACTGACTGAATTCTCTTACCTGTGTACAGTGTATGCCTTTTATCTCAATTAACTCATTTTAAAGTTATATTTATAAGCAAACTCCAGTTAAAACCATTTTTTCAAGTGCATTAAACTTTCTCATCAAAACCTGCAAAGTACCATGCTAAACATGGCATGAAAACAATTATGTGAAAATTGTTGCCATAAAACTAAAAAAGGGCTGTGATTCATACATCGCTGAAAAACAGAATTAGACAAACAAAACTAAAGATAATTAGAATATAAAAGAAGCAAAATTTCTCTTTAAATTCAGGATACAGCTTTGCAGCCTAAAAACTAAAAAAAAATTACCCTTCACATAAAGAATCAATGTTATTTGTTCACACTAATATTTTCCATCTCTTACTTGAAGTTGCAAACTAACCTTCACAGGAATATTTATGCATTATGGAGCATCTATTACACAGCAAACACTCATGTTTGTTGGCTACCTTATATATAAAAACATCATCACAACTTATAAGGGTTTCCTAGTAGTTACCTGAACGGATTGGCCCAATCAACAAATTTACTTAAGTTCATTATTTAAAAAACAAAAACAGCAGCCGGGCGCGGTGGCTCACGCCTGTAATCCCAGCACTTTGGGAGGCTGAGGCGGGTGGATCACGAGGTCAAGAGATCGAGACCGTCCTGGTCAACATGGTGAAACCCCGTCTCTACTAAAAATACAAAAAATTAGCTAGGCATGGTGGCGCGTGCCTGTAATCCCAGCTACTCAGGAGGCTGAGGCAGGAGAATTGCTTGAACTCAGGAGGCGGAGGTTGCAGTGAGCCGAGACCGCGCCATTGCACTCCAGCCTGGGTAACTAGAGTGAAATTCCGTCTCAGAAAAAAAAAAAAAAAAAAAGAAAAGAAAAACAAAAACAAAAACAAAAACACAAAATGGAGGGCCGGGCGCGGTGGCTCAAGCTTGTAATCCCAGCACTTTGGGAGGCCGAGGCGGGTGGATCACGAGGTCGACAGATCGAGACCATCCTGGTCAACATGGTGAAACCCCGTCTCTACTAAAAATACAAAAAAATTAGCTGGGCATGGTGGCGCGTGCCTGTAATCCCAGCTACTCAGGAGGCTGAGGCAGGAGAATTGCCTGAACCCAGGAGGCGGAGGTTGCGGTGAGCCGAGATCGCGCCATTGCACTCCAGCCTGGGTAACAAGAGCGAAACTCCGCCTAAAAAAAAAAAAAAAAAAAAAACACACACACACAAAATGGAATACTTCAAATAAATAATTTAGTATACTATCAATACAAGGCACAGTATATATACAATTGCATTCAACATTTTTGAGGATTTTTTTCCTAGAAAATTAGACACCTTATTAAAATGATGTTTTAATATTGCTCTTTTCTTCTGGAAATAGTTACAAACTTATACTCAAACAATCTACAATTTTCTAACACCTAAGGTTTACCTTTAGACCAATGTGTTTATTTAACTATATGTAAATCAAAACTAAAGATCTGTGTGTGTTTGCAGGCAGAGAGTCCACATGTTTAAAGAAAAATACAAACAAAAATTTTAAAGTATTTATTCAGGACTCGGAAATATGTAAATTTTATTCATACTTGTATATAATATTTATTATGACCATAAAATGACCCTGCAGTCAATAACAATTTAATTGCACATTTTAAAATAACTAAAATTGTAGAATCAAATTGCAATACAAAGAATAAATTCTAGAGGTGATGGTTACCACGTTTACCCTGATGTTATTATATATTGTATGCCTGTATCAGAATATGCCATATATAACGTGAATCCATACACATATAAATGACCCACAAAATGTAAGAAAATGTTAATGACAATTTTACCTACCAGAACAGTATTCTTTAACATTTTGCAGTTTAAAGCCACTGGCAAAAGACATTACTAAAGATGGTAGTCCATTATATTACCAAATAATGTACTGTTATCACCTGGAAAAATGTTCTCTCTACATGAAGAATTAATGTTTTTCTTCACCACTGATATTTTCCATCTCTGACTTGAAATCACAAACTAACTCCAGCAGGAATATTTACAGCTTATTGTGGAACTTCTGTTACACAGCAAGCACTGTCATGTTCGTTTGCTACATTTATGTACATAAACATTCTCATGACTTATGAAACCTCCCCGAACGAATTGGTAAATTTACTTCTATCAATTATAAAAAGTGAAAGGAACAATAATTAAAGAAAAGTAGGCTTATATAGGGTTCTCCAATTAAAATAACAAAATGTTCTAGTTCAATAAAATGTAACTTAATAAATTGTGGAATTACATCTAGAAATTATTTCGTGTGTACTACTAAATTTTATGAAAACCATTCATACAATCCTTGACCAGCTCACATAATGAAAACCTTACAAACCATGAAAGAAAAAAAGTATAAGAAACAAGAAAATTATGGATCTAGCATGAATACTAGACAAGTAAAGACAGCAAATTTGCATGAGAAGATTGATTAACTGTAAGATTTTACAATAACAAATTCAATAAAAAGCAGAGGGCACAGATTTGCTTTTAGCATTTTGAGGTTTTTAGTTTTTTAGTTAGTTTTAACCTAGCCAACCTTACTCAAGGATATAGGTAAAAGATGGTAACAATATACTATTTGGTAACAATGATTATTAAATTTAAATAATTCATTTTGTTGCAATAATCTTTTCTTCTGAAAAAAAGGTACAAATTTATACAAACATGCTGACTTACTCCATAATTTTCTTAAACTTAAGATTGATCTTTACAATAATGTATGTGTGTATTTAACTCTATGTAAATCAAAGCTAAAAGTCTGTATGAGTTTGCAGGCAGAGATAACATATTTTCAAAAAAATTAATAATTTTTAAGTTTATTCTGGACTCTGAAGTGTACAAAATTTTATAATTGTACATAATTTTTATTATGAACAAAAAGATGACCCTATAATGAATAACAATTTAATTGTACATTTTTAAATATCAAAAAGTGTAGAATTCATTCCTAATACAAAGGATAAATGCTGGAGATGAGGAATACTTAGTTTATCCTGATGTGATTATTACCTTTTTTATTTCTGTATTCAAACAAGCTATATATATAGCATAAATACATACACATACTATGGACCCACAAAAATTAAGAAAAATAAAATAAGAGAAAAGGAGTAAGTATTTAATCTATACGAACAATATTCTTTAACTGCTCTGCAGTTTAAAGTCACTGCAAAAGAGATTACTAGAAATGTTAGTCCATTGTGTTACCAAATAGTATATTGTTACCATCTTTTACCTACATCTTTGAGTAAGGTTGACTAGGTTAAAGGTTTTTTTTTTTTTTTTGAGACGGAGTTTCGCTCTTGTTACCCAGGCTGGAGTGCAATGGCGCGATCTCGGCTCACCGCAACCTCCACCTCCTGGGTTCAGGCAATTCTCCTGCCTCAGCCTCCTAAGTAGCTGGGATTACAGGCACGCGCCACCACGCCCAGCTAGTTTTTTGTATTTTTAGTAGAGACGGGGTTTCACCATGTTGACCAAGATGGTCTCGATCTCTCGACCTCGTGATCCACCTGCCTCGGCCTCCCAAAGTGCTGGGATTACAGGCTTGAGCCACCGCGCCCGGCTGACTAGGTTAAAGTTAATGGTATAATAACACTTTATTGAATGCACAGTTTTTTTTTTAACTTTAATGAAAAAATTCAGTTCACACAATCTAAACATTTAATAATGTACTATGTTCTATTACATAAAAGTACCATTATTAAAATAACGTACTAATTTAAATTTTAACTAAAATTTAAAATGTTATCACCATAATGTAGACTATTACTCTGAACACCTAACTCATGCATTACTTAATACTATGTGTTAACCAAAAAGTCTCTCCACTTAGAATTTCATCACGTGTCTTACATTTTAATTCCCTTTCCCTTCCATAGAAAAGGTCGTAAGTAATCCCTACTAATTAAAAAAAAAACTTATATTTTTGATGCGGTAACCTTTAGTAACATGCTTTCACAGGTGAATACAGTAGGAATGAAAAAAACAGCATTAAGTAATTTGAGAGAATTGCATCATTATTCATGTTTTTAAATATCTGTAATTTTAAGGACAAAAGTATACTTTGAATGTAATTATAACACTTAAACTCTACTTAAACTGACATACAAATAATTTATTTACCAACTTTAGTTCTGATTGTTTTCTATACTCAGCACTCTGACTTACTGTAATGTCTATAGCTTCAGTGCCTTAGGTATTTCTACTGTGAATTTTCTGATACTTACATAGACTTCATTTTGTATTAAACATTCTTTCATATTGACTACATCTGCAAAAATATACTTTAGTATGAAACCTCTGGTGTTTTCTAAGCAATAGTTACTGAAACCATTTTTCTCCAAATTTTTAACATTTGCAAGATTTTTCTTCCCCAATATAAATTTCCTGATGTGGAGTAAAGTTTGAGAAACTGCTTAAGGGTTTTTCTCTAGTACAAAATGTGTACAATCAAATCTGTGATACAAGTAAAGCTACTACAACCCTCTTTATATTTGTAATCTTTGTCTTCAAAATGAATACTCTTTTTTTTCTGGGATGGAGTCTTGCTCTGTCACCCAGGCTGGAGTGCAGTGGTGTGATCTCAGCTCACCACAACATCCACCTCCCAGGTTCAAGTAATTCTCCTGCCTCTGACTCCCAAGTAGCTGGGATTGTAGGTGTGTACCAACATGCCTGGCTAATTTTTGTATTTTTAGTAGACATGGTGTTTCTATGGCCATGTTGCCCAGGCTGGTCTTGAACTACTGATCCCTTGATCCAACCACCTCAGCCTCCCAAAGTGCTGGGATTACAGGCATGAGCCACCACACCCAGCCTCTTCTTTAAAGGCATATAGAAATTGTAATATATATATTACAGTCATTCCATTTATACGTTTTATTTACCAACTCTCTAATGTTGAGTAGGATGTGATCAGATATTAATGGTTATTTCACATAATTTTTATTTGTACAATTTTTCTCAAGTATAAGTGCATTCCTGTGCAACAGGTTGTGAACATTAATTAGAAGTTTCACAATATTGTTTACACTTGTAGGTGTTTTCTCCAGTAAAAATTATCTTACTTAAAAATAAGTCAGACGTTTTGAAGGTTTCGTCACATTCTTCACATTTCTATGATCTGTCACCAGTACGATTACTTTTATATTTAGAAAAGGTTGAGGTGTTGTTAAAATTGTTGTCACACATTCTGGTTTTATTCTCACTGGTATAAATTTTCTTAGGGTTAACGTTTGCAGATTGATTAAAAGCATTGTTACATTCTTCACGTTTGTAAAGTTGCTCCCCAATATGAATTCTCTTATGTTCCATAAGTGCTGAGGATCAGTTGAAATCTTGGCCACATTCTACACATTTATACAATTTCTCTCCAGTATGTATTATCTTGTGTTTAGTAAGGGTTGAGAATCAGTTAAGTTTGCCACATTATTCACATTTGTATGGTTTCTCTCCAGTATGAATTCTGTTATGTGTAGTATGATGTGAGTGATAGTTAAAAGCTTGCTACATTCTTCACATTTGTACAGTTCTTCTCTAGTATGAATTTTCTTATGTGCAGTAAGCATTGAGGATTTGTTAAAAGCTTTGCCGCAGTCCTCACATGTGTATGGTTTCTCTACGGTATGAATTATCTTACTTCTAGTAAGGGTGGCAGAGTGTGTACAAGCTTTCCCACATTCTTCATATTTGTAGGGTTTCTCTCCAGTATGAATTTTCTTATGTTTACCAAGTTTTGAGGACTGGTTAAAAGATTTGTCATTCTTTACATTTGTAGGCTTTCTCTCCAGTATGAATTCTCTTATGTACAGTAAGCATTGACAATTTGTTAAAAGCTTTGCCACATTCCTCACATTTGTATGCTTTTTCTCCAGTATGAATTATCTTATGTCTCGTAAGGGTTGCAGAGTATGTAAAAGCTTTGCCACAGTCTTCACATTTGTATGGTTTTTCTCCAGTGTGAATTTTCTTATGTCTAGTAAGGATTGCAGGTTCCGTATAAGCTTTGCCACACTCTTCGCATTTGTAGGGTTTCTCTCCGGTATGAATTCTCTTATGCCTAGTAAGGTGTGCAAACTGGTTAAAAGCTTTGCCACATTCTTCACATATGTAGGGTTTCTCACCAGTATGAATTCTCTTATGTGTAGTAAGGGTTGAGCGATAGTTAAAAGCTTTGCCACATTCTCCACATTTGTAGGGTTTCTCACCAGTATAAATTATCTCATGTGTACTAAGGTTTGAGGACTGATTAAAAGCTTTGCCATATTCTTTATATTTGCAGGGTTTTTCCCCAGTATGAATTTTCTTATGTCTAGTAAGGTTTGCAAACCGGTTAAAAGCTTTGCCACATTCTTCACATTTGTAAGGTTTCTCTCCAGTATGAATTCTTTTATGTGTAGTAAGGTTTGAGCGATAGTTAAAAGCTTTGCCACATTCTTCACATTTGTAGGGTTTCTCACCAGTATAAATTATCTTATGTGGAGTATGCTTTGAGGACTGATTAAAAGCTTTGCCACATTCTTTATGTTTGTAGGTTTTATCTCCATTGTGAATTTTCTTATGTTTACCAAGTTTTGAGGATTGGTTAAAAGCTTTGTCACATTCCTTACATTTGTAGGGTTTCTCTCCAGTATGAATTCTATTATGTGCAGTAAGCATTGAGGATTTGTTAAAAGCTTTGCCACATTCTTCACATTTGTATGGTTTTTCTCCAGTATGAATTATCTTATGTCTAGTAAGTGTTGCAGAGTATGTAAAAGCTTTGCCACAGTCTTCACATTTGTATGGTTTTACTCCAGTATGAATTTTCTTATGTCTATTAAGGGTTGCGGGTTCTGTATAAGCTTTGCCACATTCTTCACATTTGTAAGGTTTCTCTCCTGTATGAATTCTCTTATGTGTAGTAAGGGTTGAGCGATAGTTAAAAGCTTTGCCACATTCCTCACATTTGTAAGGTTTCTCGCCAGTATAAATTATCTTATATGTAGTAAGGTTTGTGGATTGATTAAAAGTATCGCCACATTCTTCATATTTGTAGATTTTCTCTCCAAAATGAATTCTCTTATGTCTAGTAAGGTTTGCAAACCGATTAAAAGCTTTGCCACATTCTTCACACTTATAAGGTTTCTCTCCAGTATGAATTATCTTATGTGTAGTAAGGGCTGAGCGATAGTTAAAAGCTTTGCCACATTCTTCACATTTATAAAAATTCACTGTAGTATAAATTTTTTTATGTTGAGTTAGGTGTAAAAGCATACACAATAACTTGCCACATTCTTTGCATTTGAAAGGTTTCTTATCAGTATGTCTTAACTTATGTGTATTTAAATGTGAGAATTTATAAAAGACTTTCATACATTTATCACATTTAAATATTTTGCTCTGCATAGTTGGAAAATATTGGTTAAGTTCATTATAACCTTCTTTGTGCACCTTACACTCATCCACACTTTTACAGCCTTCTTTTAACAGAAAATTTGTATGTTCATATTTTTCATCTCTCAGTGTAACTTTATGAAAAGAATCTTCTCTGTTCTTCTCTGGCAAAAGGTCTTGGATGATATGAGAACACATTACTGAAAGAAATAAAAATAACACATTAATTGCTAGACTCAAATGAATATACTTTCCAAGCCTAATCTATAAAATTTCACAAACTACATAAGCAAGATGGCATAGTAAAATATCATAGACCATAATTTCTTCCTAGGCATATAAATTTAACAAACACATACTGACCAAAATACTTTTGTGAAAAACTTACAAATTTCTGTGCAGTGCCCCAGGTGAGCACAATACAAAGAGCCTCATAGAAGAAAAAAAAAAGTCTGTTATATTTACCCAGGACAGCTTTATCTGCTCCCCAATATAAAATAATGCCTTTTGAAGTAAATTTCGAACTTTGATTGTTTTACAGAGAGAAATACCTGAGAGTGGTTAATTCATAAAATAAAGAGGGTTTTTTGTTTGTTTGTTTGTTTTTTGGTTTGTTTGGCAGACTGTAGAAAAAGTGTGTACCAGCATCTGCTTCTGGTGAGAATCTCAGGAAGCTTACAATTACGGTGAAAGGCAAAGAGTAACAGGACATATTAGATGGTAAGAGAAAGAGCAAGTGTGAGGTAAAGAAGCCGGGTTCTTTTAATGAACCAACCTTTGAATTAACAGAGTGTAAGCACTTTGATTAATAAAGACATAGTGCCAACCCATTAATGAGAAATTTGCCCCCAGGACACAAACACCTCCCACCAGGTCCCACATTAAACACTCAGAATTACATTACAGCATAAGGTTTGGAGAACATGGAAATCCAAACAGTATTGCAGATCAATTCAGCTTAACAGACATGTAGAAACTTTTTAAATCAAAAGCAAGATACTACACAATATGTTTATTTGCACCTGGTATATTCTGTTAAGACACATACCAAATCTTATAAATTTGAGAATACCAGCTGGGTGCAGTGGCTCACGCTTATAATCTCAACATTTTGTAAGACCAAGATGGGAGAATCACTTGGGGCCAAAAATTTGAGACCAGCCTGGGCAACACAGTGAAACCCTGTCCTTACAAATAATCAAAAAATTAGTGAGGCATGGTAAAGAATTTCTGTAGTGTCAGCTACTAGGGAGATTGAGGTGAAAGGATCACTTGTGACTGGGAGGTTATGGCTACAGTGAGCCAAAATTATTCCACTGCACTACAGCCTGAGTGACAGAGTAAGATCCTGTCTCAAACAAGACATAAATTTAAGAAGACCAAAATTATACACGTTTTCTGACCAAAACCGTGTAACACAGAAATGAAGTTTTAAAATTAAAACTTGCAAATCCAAATATATATGAAAATAAAACATACTCTAACATATTCTTGCAGTAAAGGTAAAAAAATTTAATCATTCAGATGTCAATACAACCTACAGTGGTGAACATATTTATTACAATCTCTATAAAAATCCCAATAGCACAATTTTGTGCAAACATTAAAATTTTTAAATTTAATTATAAACTATAGCCAAACACCCATTAAAAGAACAAGGAGGCATTATACTTTCTGATTTCAAAACATATTAGAAGCTAAATAATGCAATGTGGTGCTGACACACAGATAAATAGGTAAAAGAACATAACAGAGAGCCCAGAAATAAATCCTTCTGTATATAATCAAACAATTTTCCCTGAAGTTGCCATAAGCACACAATAAAGAGAAGGTAATCTCTTCAAAAAAATCATGTTCAAAACTAGGTATCAACACTGATAAAATAAAATGAGATCATTTCCTTGAAACAGATATGAAAAGCATTTTAAATAAAGTACTTAGACATTAAAAAAAAAACCTAACAAATCTCTTAGAAAAAAATAAAGGGAGAAGACAAGACATTGGTCTTGACACACCATTTTCTTAGATACAACATTAAATGAATAAGCAACAAAGAAAAAAACAGAAAAAAAAAAAAAAAAACTACATTCTTCAAAATTTCTGCATGTCAAAGAAAAATTTAATTGAGTGACAATGCCTTTTAAAAAACGGGTGGAAGGTGGGCGTGGTGGCTCACACCTGTAATCCAAGCACTTTGGAGGCCAAGGCGGGCGGATCACCTGAGGTCGGGAGTTCAAGACCAGCCTGACCAACACGGTGAAACCCCGCCTTAAAAATAAATAAATAAATAAAAATAAAAACAAAAAATAGGCCGGGCACGGTGGCTCAAGCCTGTAATCCCAGCACTTTGGGAGGCCAAGGCGGGTGGATCACGAGGTCAAGAGATCGAGACCATCCCGGTCAACATGGTGAAACCCCATCTCTACTAAAAATACAAAAAAATCAGCTGGGCATGGTGGTACATGCCTGTAATCCCAGCTACTGAGGAGGCTGAGGCAGGAGAATTGCCTGAACCCAAGAGGCAGAGGTTGCGGTGAGCCGAGATGGCGCCATTGCACTCCAGCCTGGGTAACAAGAGCGAAACTCCGTCTCAAAATAAATAAATAAATAATAAAAATAAATAAATAAAAAATGGATGAAAATATTTGCAAAGCACATACGATAGGAGTTAATATTAAAAATATGCAACTCTTGAAAGTGATCAATGAAGTTCAATAACTTGATTTAGAAATAAATAATTGAACTAAAGTTTTCTCAGGATATATAAATGAAAAAAACCTTTGTGGCCAGGCACGGTGGCTCACGCCTGTAATCCCAACACTTTGGGAGGCCGAGGTGGGTGGATCATGAGGTCAGGAGATCGAGACCATCCTGGTCAACATGATGAAACCCCGTCTCTACTAAAAATACAAAAAATTAGCTGGACATGGTGGCGCGTGCCTGTAATCGCAGCTACTCAGGAGGCTGAGGCAGGAGAACTGCCTGAACCCAGGAGGCAGAGGTTGTGGTGAGCCGAGATCGTGCCATTGCACTCCGGCCTGGGTAACAAGAGTGAAACTCTGTCTAAAAAAAAAAAAAAAAAAAAAAAAAAACCTTTGAAAAAACATGCAGAATTACTATTTGTAAAGAAATTAATAAAAGTTACATTGAAAAACAAAATAATCTTACACTTAATAGAATGGCAACTACCAATTTTTTAGAAATACCAAATATTTTTATGATGCAATAAAAATAAAAGTCATGTAGAATGTTGGTAGAAAAGAAGAATGTAGCCATTATTTTAAAACGTATAAGTGTTTCTCAATTAAAAATAAAAGTATAATCAAATCCAGCAGTCTCATTTATCAATCTATGTCTAAAATATGCAACACAGGACCTGAAAGACACATTTGAACATTCATGTTTATTGTACCAGTATTCACAAAAGCTAAAAGGCCAAAACAACTTACATGTTCCTTGACTTATTTTTTTTTTTTTTTTTGAGATGGAGTTTCGCTCTTGTTACCCAGGCTGGAGTGCAATGGCGCGATCTCGGCTCACCGCAACCTCCGCCTCCTGGGTTCAGGCAATTCTCCTGCCTCAGCCTCCTGAGTAGCTGGGATTATAGGCACGCGCCACCATGCCCAGCTAATTTTTTGTATTTTTAGTAGAGACGGGGTTTCACCATGTTGACCAGGATGGTCTCGATCTCTTGACCTTGTGATCCACCCGCCTCGGCCTCCCAAAGTGCTGGGATTACAGGCTTGAGCCACCGCGCCCGGCTCCTTGACTTATAAACATATTAAAAAACATGTTTTGGGCCGGGCGCGGTGGCTCACGCCTGTAATCTCAGCACTTTGGGAGGCCGAGGCAGGTGGATCATGAGGTCAAGAGATCGAGACCATCCTGGTCAACATGGTGAAACCCTGTCTCTACTAAAAATACAAAAAATTAGCTGGGCGTGGTGGCGCGTGCCTGTAATCCCAGCTACTCAGGAGGCTGAGGCAGGAGAATTGCCTGAGCCCAGGAGGCGGAGGTTGCGGTGAGCCGAGATCGCGCCATTGCACTCCAGCCTGGGAAAAAAGAGCGAAACTCCGTCTCAAAAAAAAAAAAAAAAAAAAAACATGTTTTATATATAGATAGATAAACTATGTTTATATATGTAAACATAAAGTATTGTTATATATATACACACTTTATATGTGTATTATATCTGTATATATATATACACATATGTACACACATATATATATATATACACATATGTACACACACAATGGAGTATTATTCGGCTTTAAGTAAATCTTGTCTTTTTTTTTTTGAGACGGAGTTTTCGCTCTTGTTACCCAGGCTGGAGTGCAATGGCGCGATCTTGGCTCACCACAACCTCCGCCTCCTGGGTTCAGGCAATTCTCCTGCCTCAGCCTCCTGAGTAGCTGGGATTACAGGCACGCACCACCATGTCCAGCTAAATGTTGTCATATTTTAAGATAAATTATGATAATATGTCACATGAAATAAGCAAGTAACAAAAATATGGATACTATATGATTTCATTTATATATCTTAATTAGTCACACTCATAGAAACAAAACATGGAAGGGTGTTTATCAAGTGCTGGGGAGAGGGCAAAATGGGTAGTTGTTATTTAATGGGTATTGAGTGTTAACTTTCAAAAAATAAGAAATTATAGCACTCTTTCACATAACAATATGAATATACTAAACGATCTTGAAATGTACAGCTTTTTCTTTTCTTTTTTTTAATACAGGATCTCACTCTGTCACCCAAACTTGAGGGGAGTGGCATAATTATGGCTCACCATAGCCTCAAACTCCCAGCCTCACATAATCCTCCATCATTATTCTCCTTAAAGAGCTGAGACTACAGGTGCACACCACCATGCCTGGCTATTTTTATACTTTTTTTTGTACAGAAAGAATCTCCATACGTTTCCCAGGATGGTCTCAATCTTTTGGGCTCAAGTTATTCTTCTGTCTTTGCTGCCAAAAATCCTGAGATGACAGATACTAACCACTACCATGCCTGGCCCTGAAACACACACTTTAATACATTTAAGATGGTAAATTTTATGTGTTTTTACAAAAAATGTTTTTCAAAGAAAAACTGAAAACATACAGAGTGATATTTTTTTCAAAAATTATCTTTAAATCGCAAAGTGTTTCCTCACATCAAAGAAATATATATTCATCATTAAACACATGGTGAAAATAAGACTATTTCCCTATTTACTTAGACAAGATAAAACAATCATTCAGCTAAGAAAGAATATATGTGAGATAAGCCATAAATTAAATTATATTTATATTTAAATAAATGTGCATGTATATAATCTGACTATGATAGGCATATTGCTGATTCATAGTTAAACTCCACATTGACTTAAAGTGTACAAATAGAATTGCAAATTGTCTAGTATTATAGTACATAAGTAAAGTCAAAAATCACAATGAACTGATGTTGAGAAATCTACATTATAAAACCAATATAGACTGAAAAACAATAATAAATGTTTATTCATAAATTCTGGTTTGCAATACTGATATACTATTAAGAAAGAATTTGTCGGCCGGGCGCGGTGGCTCAAGTCTGTAATCCCAGCACTTTGGGAGGCCGAGGCGGGTGGATCACGAGGTCAAGAGATCGAGACCATCCTGGTCAACATGGTGAAACCCCGTCTCTACTAAAAATACAGAAAATTAGCTGGGCATGGTGGCGCGTGCCTGTAATCCCAGCTACTCAGGAGGCTGAGGCAGGAGAATTGCCTGAACCCAGGAGGCGGAGGTTGCGGTGAGCCGAGATCGCGCCATTGCACTCCAGCCTGGGTAACAAGAGTGAAACTCTGTCTCAAAAAGAAAAGAATAAACATGTATAAAGGGAGTGAAATCAGTAAGATGGAACAATGAAAGATGCCCCATTTTCTTACTCCCTGCACAGCAAGAGAGCTGGTCAGCCATCTCTGACAAAAATACCTTTATGAGAGAGCCAGGCCTCACGGCTCAAACCTGTAATGACAGCTACATGGCACATTTAGGTTATAGAATTGCTTCTCATCAGATTTCAAGACCAGCCTGAATTATGTAGCAAGACTTCATCTCAAAAATAAGTGCCTTTAATAGAGCTTTGAGATCCAGAGAGGGAATTTTGAAGATCTGATAAAGCCCAAGATTGAAAAGTCTTCTTTTCAAGAAGGCAGGCCCTCATTTAGGTGGCAAACTACAGGATCTCCGTTCTTAGCTACAACTAGGAAACTGGCTACCTAATTTGTCACAACAGAGAATTCTGAAGTTACTGTGTAATCATCTCAGACTCCCTCCAGCCACAATCTGAGAGAGGTCCTGTTCCTACAGGGGCCTGGAGGAAGACATTCATTTATAGCCATGTGGGCAGGCCTGCAGACCTTGGCCTTTATTGTGGTCCCTGAAGCAGTTCAGTGATTCAGTTTCAGCTCTCTCAGCTGCAGTTCATGGCCAGTTCTGCCTACCTAGGAACCCACACAGTGACCTGGAAAAATTCTTTCTGGTACTCAGTGAAAGCTGTCCTCATCCACATTTTGATATAAGGCCCACCATATGCAGACTTGACTGCAGAAGCCTATGCTAGTGTCTTCCCTTCCCTATGGAGCAACCAACAAAAATTCAATCTATCCAAAATACAAAATGGAACTACAACTACTAAATCCCCTTGTACCAAGCCAACTAAAGGTAGACCCTAGTGCTGACCCAGTAGCCTTGTGACCAAACTGCAATCATTCTTTACTACAAACCCAGAGGGTATCCCATCACTCTGGGGGCCCAACAAAACAAGATCCTTATCTCCTGAAAGCAGTTTCTAAAAACTTGAAGAGGTGTTTTCTCCTTCAAATTCCCAGACACCAACGCAAAACTATATTGTGCCCATTGTCAGTGCGTGCATTTTAACATATCATTTAAAGTACATGGCAGAAGAATTAGTCAAAAAATAAAAAAGCCATTGAAATTGCAAACAAGTAAGTAAAAACTTGCTGGTTGTAAATCATATGATCTTATATATACGTAAAACCATAAGCAGTACATTACAACTTGTCTAAAGCTGGGTGCGGTGGCTCACACCTGTAATCCCAGCACTCTGGGAGGCTGAGGTGAGTGGATCACCTGAGGTTGGGAGTTAGAGAACAGCCTGACCAACATGGAGAAACCCCGTCTCTACTAAAAACACAAAATTAATCCCAGCTATTTGGGAAGCTGAGGCAGGAGAATTGCCTGAACTTGGGGGATGGAGGTTGAGGTGAGCAGAGATTGCACCATTGTGCTCCAGCCTGGACAACAAGAGCAAAACTCTGTCTAAAAAAAACACCTGTCTAAACTAATAAATATAATCAGTAAATTAGGAAAATATAAAATGTACATACAAGGTAGGGTTTCATACATTTAAGCTCTCTGATAAAATAGAGGAAGAAAACAATCTTATGTACAATAGCGTTAAAATGATAAATTTCTGAGAACAAATTTAACAGTAGAGGTAAAAAATATTTACAGTGGTATATCACTAAAAAAATTAGAAAAGAAATAAATTTTAAAATATTTTATGTCTATGCATTTAAAGAATAAATACTGCTAAAGTGCCATGTTATCCAAAGTGATCTACAGATTCAATAAACTCTCCTTCAAAATTTCAGTGGCAATTTTTTTAAGTAATGGAAAACACATTTACATTTAACTACAAAAAATTTAATTTTTTTGTAATTTACATTTAACTACAAAAAACTTTAGTCAAAGCAATCTTTAAAAAACAGCAGAGAGGCATCATACTTTACAACTTCAAACTATATTTCAAGACTATAGTAATACAAACAAGATGAAATGTGCAGAATAATGAACAGAAAAAATGAAACAGAAACTACTACTCACATTTTACACGATACAAAAAGAAATCTTAAAAAATTAACAGAGTTTTAAAAAATTATGCAGATTTTTGTGTTCCCAAAAATAATGTAAAAGCAGTCAAACTGTACAGTTTTTTATATGCCATGAAGAGGATGGTTGCTTTGACTAGAAATCTGAAAGATCACCAAAAAGAAAGTAGAATCTTTAGAGAATTTAAAAGCGTAAAACAGAAGATATCAAATTATGAGAGGAAAAAAACCAAAACCAAACCAAACCAACCAACCAAACAAACAACTCAGGCTTTCCAGAAACGATTCCAATGGAACATAGCTTTCCAACTCACATTTTAACAGCTGGCTTTCTCTTTTATATTTAGACCTTTCATCTGTGTTATCCATTGTGTTCACCTTCACTCTCACCTACCTGGGGGTTTATCCACCATCTCATGTCTCTTCATATTCCAGAGCTCTTTTTCTTGCTCCAGACAGGTGATCAGGTCTGGCTTAGAGACAGCAATACCTGTTTTATTACAAATAAGTAACATAAATTTTGCTCATATTCTCCAATTACCAACCTAGTAATATGTTCAGTAAAGAGGGTGTAATAAAATATTTTTATAATGTAATCACAAAATACTGATTTCTAACAGAGGATTTTAAATTTGTAGGTTATTAATTTCACTACCCAGTAATACTGAATCAAAACTTGGTGTTGGCAATTAGATTTTAAGGTATGGACAACAATATATTACGTAACTAAATTAATGAAATTACTGCTAATCTAGAGTCAAGGATACAGATCAGCTTAGAAATGTAGAAAGTTCAGGTCAAGATGAAACATCTTCAGAAATTATTTTATACATGGACAAATCCCCAAGATTTTCTTGAAAATAGGGATCTGAAACCTATTTATGCAAAGCATATATTACCAAAACACATTCTACCAAAAAGAGAAGTGAAACCATTAGGGTATGTTTGGAATTGTGTGAAGTTATCCTCACCCAGAAAGACCAGATTTTCGTAGTTCTCTAACATCACATTCCTATATAAATTCCGCTGTGCAGTGTCCAAGAATTGCCACTCTGTCAGAGAGAATTCTATGGCCACATCTCTAAATGTCAGCAGTCCCTGAAAAACAAACACACACACATAGAGACACACACACACACTTACCAGGTAGACAGCAGAATTTATAACTTGACTACAGGTAAAATGAGAAAGTAAATACAACTAGTTCTGACTTACAAGAGTGACTGAAATTATTTAATAAAATATTTATTTACACAGAAGTATTTCCTAATGTATTCTCTACTCCTGAGAAAAGAGAATGGCGTAAGATCCACAACACTAGTGTATCCATAATACTTTTCTGAATAATAAGTATAAAATTAAGGGCATAAACACAAATGTGTACACTTTTCAGTGCTGTATTTGCATCACACAGAATCAGTTATATGTATTTTTCAGATGGAAAAGATACGTTGTTGGAAGTTACCTCTAAAATTTGTAATTTTTAACAGCAATTTTAAATAGTCTTTAACACCCTAGTAGCAGGTATCTCCTAATAAATTTCTTAAGAAGTTTTTGTGAAATAAGTGCCATCTTGTTTAATCAGCTTTATTATTATTATTATTATTATTATTTGAGATAGAGTTTTGCTCTTGTGGCCCAGGCTGGAGTGCAATAGAGCAATCTCAGCTAACTGCAACCTCTGCCTCCCAGGTTCAAGCAATTCTCCTGTCACATCCTCCTGAGTGGCTGGGATTACAGGCGCCTACCACTACATCTGGCTATTTTTTATTTTTTATCTTTTGTATTTTTAGTAGAGATAGGGTTTCATAGTGTTGGCCAGGCTGGTCTTGAACTCCTGACCTCAGGTGATATGCCCCTCTCAGCCTCCCAAAGTGCTGGGATTACAGGCGTGAGCCACAGCACCTGGCCTCAAGTTCCCTGTTAAAGCTGATGTTGCTTCCCCTGGGCTCATCATTAGCATTAGTTAGAGAAAGCAGGCACAGCACAGAGTCCCTTACACTCAGCACCCTTGTCACAACACACATGCTTCCAGGAAAAATGAATACAACCAACATCCTTATTCTTTTTTGGTTCTTTAAAGTTTACAAGAACAAAGAGAATGCAGCAATGTTTGAGTAAGTTTACATTTGGAAACCAACATGTGCACATGGACGAATATAATGTTTATTGTGCAGGTACTATATGCTCAAGATCACATTAGAGAGCACTGCACTGGGTATTAAACATTGTGTGATTTAATCGTCGTAACACCCTGGGAGCTGGTACTGTCTTGAATAATTCCCAGATTTTAGATAAGGGGTCTAGCACTTTTATTTCTTCCTCTGATTGTCATTGATTTGTTTTTTAATGTATAGAATAAAACCTAAATATAGACAAGTAAAAGGGATACAGAAAGAGTTTATGTAGTTTAGCAGAGTAAGTATTGTGTTTATATTTACTTTTTTGTGATTTGTGGAAAAACTACTGGATCTGCAGAAATAGAAAACAAGTTGCAAATCGGACATTCTCTGCTAGCATTGTTTAAAAAAAAAAAAATAGGCCAGGTGTGGTGGTTCAATCCTGTAATTCCTGCACTTTGGGAGGCCAAAGTGGGTGAATCACCAGAGGTCAGAAGTTTGAGACCAGCCTAACCAACATAAAGAGACCCCATCTCTACTAAAAATACTAAAAATTAGCCAGGCATGGTTGCAGGTGCCTACAATCCCAGCTACTCAGGAGGCTAAGGCAGGACAATTGTTTGAACTCAGGAAGCAAATGTTGCAGTGAGTCAAAATTGTGCCACTGTGCTCCAGCCTGGGTAACAAGAGCAAAATTCTGTTTCAAAAAACAATTGTAATAATAACAAATTAAGACCCTATGATACACACTTTATCTCATTTATCTGCTTTTTGATTTTTAAAAAATTGTGAGCATCAGCTCTAGAAAGGCAAAAGGATTCAAAACTCTCATCTCTTATCAGTTACGTGAGGCAAAACTCCAAGGCTGGGCCAGAATTTAGTAAGACCTTTATAGAGGGTGAACCTAAATAGAACTGGGGAAGGGAGAGGATCCTATGTAGAATTCTGTTCTCTATAACACTGGGTATTTCATGTTCTGTTTTTATAAACTTACCTATGAAAAACTTAAATCCCAGAGTTTGTGTAACTTTAATCTTTTTTAGCTACTGTCCTGTCAATTTTATAACATATACTAATAACCAATTTAAACAAATCTCTTAACGTTTTCTAGGATAATTTTATAAGATAAATATGTATTCCTGGCAAGGTAATAAGAATGGAATAATAATAACCCTTCTGTCCATAAATATCCCTTTAGGTAGTAACATAGAAATTCACAATATAAAGTAACCCAAATAAAACCCAAGTTTGTTTGCACACCTCTATTCCTTGTACCCACCATATGATGCTCAGTTAAGCCATTATCTAGTTGCTGGCCTAGACTAAAAGTTCCTGGATGGTAAAGGTCATAACTGCTTCATCTATTTTTCTAATGGCCATAGTTGCTATTTTTTATTAGTTTATCTGTTTGAGTCTCCAGACCTCCTCCTTGTTTTGCACTCAGGTACCAGAGAACTGGAGAAACTCTCTTCTGGGTACCAACCAAAGAAATCTCATGTATGAGGGGAGGAAAACTCAGAATAAATTATTTCACTTAAACTGAACAGAAGCAGAATTAACTACTCTTGTCAGCCTCACACAATTTTGTTTTGGACATTTTCAAATTCTAATAGATGTCTAGATGATTTTGAGAGCGTTCCCAGTGCTTCTGAGCTGATGTCCCATTGATAAGCAAGGGAGGAGAGGCTCAGGCTAAATAAAAAATTGAACTGCCCTAGTGAAGCTTTAGAACTTTAATTATCAATTCTGATTAGCCAAATTTTGGGTTAAAAATAAACAAAAAAAGGACAAGAATACTCTAGTATTACATTTAACATATAGGTGTAGTTTGGTTGTGGCTCTGGATACTTTGTGACCTTAATCTCTTACTCTGAAGATGTTTGTTTACGCTTACAGGTTCTGACATCAGATTCTATTTACATCTGGAGCCTCACATAACTGTAGCAGGTCACTGGACAAGAGATGAAAAGCTCAAAGAGCCACACTGTCAAATGATAACTTTAAGACATCCGTGTTGACATCCTACAATGCAGAAATGTCTCCTGTTTGTTTTCTGTACATTCTCAATCCAAAAACTTTCTGGGCCTTGTGAATCCCAGGCAGAAATCTGACCTTATATGCAGACTCTAGGTCAGATCAACCTGGCTTTGCATTCTTGGGTTTGACAGCAAGTGGAGTACAATCAAAAGAGAAATCCCCTCACAGAGGCTGCTCTAATATATTCTAAATAATATGCCTACCTAAAAGAAATAAGCTGAGGCAACTTGAATATAAGTAGACAGTTTATTTGGGCCAAGCATGAGGATTATAACCTGGGAGCAAAGATTCAAGTTGCCTGAAATCTAAACATTCCTTGGCACCAGTTACAAGCTCAAAAAAGAGAAAGACTGGACAGGTACAAATTTATCAGAAATTTTTATTTACTTACAGAAATAACATTGATTATTGATTTGACATACATCATTAAGGTTTAGAGTATAGATTATAGTGTCCAGTGTGGCGCTATTAGTTTAAGTGATAGCTACCGATGGCAATAGCAAATGCTTTCAAGAAATACATTATTGAAAAGGGGAAAAAAGACATAACTGTGCTCTCATTTAAATGTCTGAGTTTGACAACTAGAAGGACTTAGATTCCTCAGACAAAAGTTTTTTTTTCCTTATTTTATTTTTCAAATCTCAAGACCTAGATTCAGAATTTGGAGCTGCAGATTTAAGGCTCTGAATAAATAGATTAGCAGCAGGTGTTACTTGCATTTGTGGGCATTTTAGCAAGAGGAGAAAGGGTAAAGTGGAAATTCTCATGTCTCCATGTCTACTGTAGAAAATAAAATAGAAGTTCCTCTTCAAAGTTTCCTTGGCTGTCCCAAATGTTCACCCTGACATGTCTGGGAAAGCCTTGGCAAGCATTAGATTATAGTTTCCTCCTTTGCCCTTATTAAGGAGTACTTTTGCCTTTATCAGCATTCCACAAGTCATTTCTTCTTTTCTTTGTCCTTTCCTGCCTTTACCTATTTAGGAAGATTTTAGCTGCTAGCCAATCAGGTCAAGCTTAGAGGGTGAGGTCCTGTTCCACCCAAGGAAACTAGACACAGAAGTAGGATGGTTACATCAAGTTATAAATGCTCCTGTATCCTTTGTTCAGGTGTGCTCTCCTGCAAAACTGCTATTGAGTGGCACCCTTTCTGCAGAAAGTAACAACTAGCCTTGCTGACTGACCCACAGTCTCAGTGTTAATTTTTTGCAACACCAAGTACCTGTTTCTAACAGGTGGGGACTCACTGATATTCCATTTTCCTCTGGGAAGTCCTTGGGCCACTCTTATGGGGAGGCACCCCACCACCTCCTTGCAGTGGCCTGGGGAGAAGAGAGCCAGGACCTACTTGGTGCAAGGAATATATTTGGATCTTCAGCAATGTGGGAGAAGGGAAAGCTTGCAGAACCATGGTAGCCAGGCAACCTTATGCACAGGCCAAGGTAAGAAATGTCGCAAGAGGGCTACAAAATGTTTTCTTGGTGGTCAACTTCTGGAAGGCTGAGTGTGTGTGAGTGGTCACAAGCATCACTGCTTGCGGTGGTGGCTGTATGGAAGAAAAGTGAAAGAGATCTCTGGAAGGGGAGGGAGAAAAACCTCCCAGGATAAATTAGGCAAGAAACCTCTAGTACGTGAGGTTGAACCTTAGCAAGCCTCTAGAGATAGGACTGGCAAGGCATCCCGTTCTGAAGGATCTGGGGGACTCAGCCTCCCAAGGGACAAAGAATAGGCAAGACATCTTTAGTGTGAAGGGTTGGGCCTATGTAGTATGCAACACGGGAAATGCTTCTAATAAGACTGGAATAGGAAGTAGAAATAGAAATAAAAGAGGTGAAAGTGATCAAATTCCTCCTGATAGCCCTCTAGGGCTCATGTTAAAGCACTGGAAAGAAAATGAACATACTAAACATAAGAAAAGAACAATAATGATTAAATATTGCTGTT